CCCCCCCCCCCCCCACCCCACCCCCCAATGAAAAAAATATGAACATCTTACATCAAATCCAGCAATAGGTTTTTGATAACTATAGTTATTTTCATTTGTTTTTATTTATGTGTATACGTTGTTATATGTGTTTATGAACAGCATTTCATTATTTTGCCTGATTTCTTTGTTACATTGATTCTGTTCATTCTTAAATTACTCTACTATGCTGCATGTCATGATTTTTTTTTATTCAAATGTGGATCCATTTCACAGGTTACTAGATTTCTTTTCTATGTAACCCCATCCCCCACCACCCCCATATGTATTGAAGAAGGGACTTTATTCAGTCGTAATAACTTGTTGTCCAATCCATTTGTGTATTTGTACAATAACATATGTTAAAATTTTAAACTTTATAAAGATAGAAATCGTATCGAATGCATTTTGCTGTGATGCGTATTGTATCGTGAAGATAATCAGTACATGAATCATGGTACGGGATACGGGGTACAGGGTACAGGGAACGGGGTAAGGGATACAGGGCACAGGATACGAGAATCGGGTACATCAGGTTTTCTCCGGTTACTCCAGCGTAATACCACTTTAAGACCCCCACCCCTCACCCCACGCTAACATTCGGACCAAAAATAGTGACGACTGTAAGTTGACCACACTTCTTTACAATTGTTGACAAATAAATGAAGTTTATATGAATTATGATATTCGCAAAACGCATTAGGTAAGTTATTTTTTTATGGAAACTGTATCTTAATATTATACAATGGATACCATAATAATCTTTTATTGCGTATACAATACGAATATCGCATTACGAATATTTTTGTATATCAATTATTTTTTTAAATGATATATGAATATCAAAATTACACCCAATGTGATATTTTCCTTTAAATAAACAATTTTCTTCACATTTGGTAAGAAGGGATATGCAAAACGATTTTGTTATCATTATATGAATCGCCGGTAGCTACTACCTTGATAATTTCCTTTCATGTATTTAAAGTAAAAACTTTAATCACAGGTTACGTCATGCATGGACATTTCATCTCTATTTCATTCGCGGAAAAAGTTACACATTTTCTCGTCGATTGCCTGTATGTCTGTAGAAAAATACATCTGACAAAATCTTTCAATTGTACATAATTATCTTGTAACATTATCGTTCTTGTTTATATATATATCAATCTGAGGCATCGCTAAACATCTTACATTTGTATATATCGTAATGAAGACGTTGAAGTCGAGATCTTGGATGATACACACTGCTAATGGATACACTTAAAATTTCAGTAGTTTATCCACCCACTTAGTTATGTGCTATTGCAAAAGGCGTTGGCCTAATTTACTAGCCGAGAAATGCAACAACATTTCTCCGAAATAGCTATTATGTGTTCACAGAGATGGCCTACCTATATCTATCTATCTATATCAGTTGTTTAATAACTGTGTAATGTTGGACGATAGCCCATGAACGTTCATGTACATTCAATTTTGTATGCATTTGAAGGTTTAAAAAAATCTATTTATATCTATATCCTGACTAACTCACGGTAATTCCGCCGATCTTACCACGACAGTCGGACAAGAAATCTGTCAAACGCTTTCATGTGTCGACGAGCGATGCCAATAGAATGGTATGTTGAAAAGGGGATGGTTTCTTTCTTGTTTTCTTTTAAAGGGACACTGAGGAAATAAAGAATACACCTACTGTATCCCACTGCATGTGTATCGTGAAAGGCGACTAATGTGGGGCCCCTGCAGAATTGAGTTTTTTTCTGTGTCTTCTAATAAGGGAACATGGACGAGGCCAAAATTGATCTGCTGCCCCCAATTGCAACACTTGGTTTAGTTTTCGTTTCCTATCTTTCCTGTCTTCTGCCTTTTCTTTCCACCTTTTGTTTCCGGCGGTGTCTCTCTAGGCAAACAAACTATCAGAAGGTTCTTTATTTTAAAATTATTCACGATCATGTTTGCGGTAAATTTTTTCTTATAATTCTGTTTTAAGTTAACGACTGATTTCTTGACATATTACGTGAACAAATCACTATTATTTGTTTTTATTTGAGGAATTAGAATTAATCACAACTTTCGCGGTGCAAAAAACTAGGATTTTATCATTGCGTAAAGACAGAGTGAAAATTCATTTTGTAATATCATTATATTTCCCCTTATGTTCTCTTACACTGACAAGCGTATCCACACGTTTTCCGGTGTGTGATAAATAGAATCCCTCACCCTCCTTGGGAAGATTCTTAAATTGCCAAACACGAGGCTTTGCCAATCAAGAGGGTGAATGATTCGTTTTGTCTTGTTCACCCATGTTCACACATTGGGTCTCATAAACATAATGTATTGTTTACTTAATAGGCCAAATATATGCATCGTTGAGGTGACGTCATTTTATTGTTTACGAGACGTCACACAATTGTTATGAATAGGGGAATCCCCCTCTCAACCATAGGGTCTCCTGCTCAATATTGTATATCTTGGGTTTTTTAATTAAAATTTTCTTATACATACCTCACACCAGGGATGGATTCTGTTACAGATGCTCTTCTAGTGCAGTTATAACCTGTCCACTTAGAGTGTGACATCCATGTTTATGACAATATAGTATGTGGATAGTGTTGGAAAATTCGTTTAAAATGAAAACATATTTTAAAACCGAGATATGCTGTTGTGAATTTCCATTAAAGACATTTGAAATAACCAGTTTGGCCATATACAAGTAATAGACATTTTCAATTAATTAATAATTTCCAATTCAAAGGAACACTTTTTGCAGTTATAGGGGGACCTAAATGTAGATTAAAATTTCTCAAAACAACTCATCAAGTTCAGTTTTCTGATTGTTTAAGATAAGATACTTAGACTGGAAATTGATACTGGTACATAAATATGAACTGTTCAAGTGAATTAGAATCTATGATACATCGAAAACGACCACAGTGTCGATACACAGGGATAAAACATTAGTGTGAGACTGATAACTTCAAAAAGTATACCGTCAACATATAGAGACTCAAATGACCTGAATGACCAAATAAAAGTGCAAATTGATAGAGACATAACGCACGTCTTAACAAGTAAAGTTATATAAAATTCGTATATTAAAGTGTCACCCGAAACACACACAAATATGAACGACATGAAAAGAAAAATAACTCTGATTTTAACTCATTCATCACTGAAGACACATATGACCTCCGAAACTCGTGGGTTTTCTCCGGGTAATCCGGTTTCCTTCCACAGTAAGACCCCTCGTGCGCTAGCATCCGTGCCAACAAGAATGATTAGCATAAGTTGTCAAAACTTGTTTCGTAATTGTTGTAAAATAAATAAAGTTTGTAGAATTAACAAGTAAATTCACATGTACTAGAGCACGACATTCTAGGAAAGGCTTATCTATTTCCATGTAGATTGCCTTTGTGAATAACAATTACGTGTGTTAGTCCGACATGCCTAGGTAAACATAAGGAATTTAATGTAGGGGGTATATTTTAATATATCTTCAAACACAGTTTGGAAATCCGGTTCTCACCTACCCACTCCTTAAATGGTTCTGCATTGTTGAGGAACCTATAAAACGCCCAAGCACTTCATGATTTTTATGGACATTGCAAAAGTCTTCGAACCACACACAGCACAAGTCGCATAAACGTAAGTGAATGTTTTGTTTACCTTGTTAAGAATATATACTTTAAGCATTGTTTTGTTCACTTTGTTCATTTCTTTATCTCATTCATTACAGTTAATATGCTGCACATACAACTTTTCAATGTTCCTAAAATGTTCTTAAAACGGTAAGGAAATATTGTGAATACTTGGGAGGCACGGTAGTCTAGTGCTAGGACGCCGGGCTCGTGACCGAAGGGTTGCGGGTTCGTGTCACGGCATGGCACTGTGTTGTATCCTTGAGCAAAATACTTTACTCCGCTTGGTCCAGTCTACTCAGCTGTAAATGAGTACGTGGTTGGGCAGTGCTAGAATTGGTGAATGCTAACTGTGAGCGCAAAAATAGCAGCATCTGCTGTATGCCCATACATATTTCTTTTGTAATATATTACATTATTTTAACTTTTATTAATTGAAATTTCTAAAAAGTGTTTTATCAACCCTATGTGTTCACTAATACCTTCTATTTTTAAATTGTTAGAAACTCTTGTTAACAAGAGGTCAATATCGTGATACTGTATCGAAATACTTATTTCTACCTTTGAATCGGAAGAGTTCAAATGTGTCTTCAGAGGGGGGGGGGGGGGTGAATTAAATACATAACCACATTATCTATTCCAAATCTATCAATAATTAAAGATATTGCTTAATATTTGTTCCAGCGTATATGTAATATAAATATGTCGATTAACGACTTAAATTCCTCGTCCTTGTTCGCAGTCACAGCATGCTTCTTAGACTGTTTGATCTAGATTTAGATTTAGATCTAAAACTAAATGTAGACACAGGTGCTACCCTCGGTCATAACTAAACATATCGTAAATACATCAATTAAATCAAAATATGATTAAGTTTGTTTAGTTTGGACAATGATACATTTTTATAACTTAGCAGAGAATGGCAACTAGACGCCGCACAGCTACAACAAATTGGGCATCAGGGAACAACGCTCCGGATGGTCCAACAGCCATAGGTAAATCAAAAAGTAGATAACAATACATTATATTTACATTCTGCTTTAACCCATTGACGAAAATGACATTCATGTTTGCATAACACATGTGACCTCATCACTGCGTAGTTTCGTTATGCGGATATGATTAACATTAAAACATGTTTGGTTTGATTTTAAGGTTAAAATAAGATGTGTAAAGAACTTGATAATGATAAAAATATATGACTTTCATGAATTATACGAAATTTTTGAAAATGGAACTACATGTATTTTTTTATTTTGTTTTGTTGTCATGCTGATGCTAGGACCCGAAGCGAAAGTTTTACATTTTCCCGCGAAAACACGCTGTTCTCTCTACTGCGTTGCCCCATGTATGAATAGAAAAAAAATGACTGGGTTTTTCTTATTTATGATTGCATCGGAAAATTTAAAGCACTTGAAAATGCAAATATAACGAATGAAATTATTTTTTCAATATTTATGAGGTCAAAACAACTTTGGCTTTGCCTCAATTCATTGTACTTACATGATGAAATCAAACGTAAAATTCGTCATTTTATCCCAAAAATTGATTCATGACAGTTCATTTATCGCTTTCAAATATGATTATATTATTACTATTCAATGGAGAGTGACAGGATTGGGCCTTATTATCATGACTATTACTTTAAATGATTTCCTCAACAAATATGTCATACTGAAAGTTATTTAATTTCCTACCAATGTTAGTGTATTATTTTTTGTATTATATTAATTAACCAAACAACAATTAAATTGAAGAATAAACTTATTATAGATAACCTCCAGTCTGCGAAGGACGAGTATCAGTTGGTGGATTACGTCCCAGGCCTTCCCTCCAGCGCAAGTATTTTACGCACTCGTTAGTTTATTATGTAGATTCAATATTATGTATGCTTAGCAGGTCGACACTTTGTAATTTTAATTATTGTATCAAGATAAAGCTTGAAGAGGAATATCACTGATGTCGACATGGTGGTTTTAAGGAGAATGTTTTTTTTATTATATCACAATAACGACTATGTGGAGATCGGGCATGTTTCATCTTGAAAACAAATGTACCATGTTAACTGAATAGTATTAACGTATTTTCTTTTTACAGGTGAAAACACTGCCAAGACAAGAGAGGTTTAGCTTTTTCGAGAAGGTTAATATTTTATTCATTTTTATATTAAATTACATATACATGCATACAGACCAGTTAACTACTGTGAGTAGATTCGGAAACTAGTAATATACATACATACATGCATTTAGCAGATTAAAATTTTGCTGCTACTTAAATATCTTTGAGCGATAGTTTTGTCAATCTTGTAATTGAGTATAAATTTGTACACATATCCAGTATACTAAAATATTATTCAACTACAAATGCAGCTAAAACAAGATTCGAACAATAAATCTTGAAATGTGTGCATAATTAGTTTAAAGATTTTCCGTGCGTAGAGTTGTTGTTTTCAAAGAAGCAATTATGTTTCTGCATTTATATCCTAAAGCAAAATTATCTTTTTCTTCTCAGGTTCGCCTCGGGTTTCTTCTTATTGTGTTGGGTATTGGCGTCTTCATCGATAGATTTCTCACTCGGAAATGGGATAAATTGTCAGACCTTTTGAATGTGTATGGATGGATATTTCCCAAACCCCCGACGGTAAGTACAGGCGGAGTTCATGTTTAATCATTTGCCGACAATCAAACAAATGTGACCATATTTCATCTCAGTCATTACAAAATAGTTGTTGGTCTTGAATAATTAAATCAAAAGGATGAGTTCCACAACCAATAACAACCTCGGTTGATTTTCAGTTGTCCAACGCTCGGTAGAACCTAACAACCACAGCTAAAAACCTCACCTCTCAATTCTGAGATTTCGCTGTCCAATCAACTCTCTTTTGTATTAAGTAACTATTATCTTCGGAATGAAACATTGAATTTTCAGACTGAAATTTGGAGAGATGATGCGTTCTTTGGAAGGCAACGTTTAGTTGGTGTTAACCCGTTCGTCATCCGACTCTGTACAGCAATACCAGGGTAAATAATAGAACAATGATAACAAAGGTATTTAATTCACTTTAGAGCAACCTCAGAATAATATCAAAAACCTAGCAGATGGATACCTGACACTCTAATACCATCTTACTACATCTACTATCATAGATAACATCTTATTACAGCTACTACCAAAGATAACATCTTACTACATCTACTATCATAGATAACATCTTATTACAGCTACTACCATACCATCTTACTACATCTACTGCCAAAGATAACATCTTACTACAGCTATTACCATAGTACCATCTTACTGCAGCTACTATCATAGATACCAATTTACTACAGCTACTACCTTAGATACCATCTTACTAAATCTACTATCATAGATACCATCTTACTACAGCTTCTATCATAGATACCATCTTACTACAGCTACTACCTTAAATATCATCTTACTGCATCTACTACCTTAGGTACCATCTTACTACAGCTACTACCTTAGATATCATCTTACTTTAGCTACTGCCAAAGATAACATCTTACTACAGCTATAACCATAGTACCATCTTACTGCAGCTACTATCATAGATACCATCTTACTACAGCTCCTACCTAGATAACATCTTACTACAGCTACTACCTTAGATACCATCTTACTACAGCTACTACCTTAGATATCATCTTACTACTTCTATTACCAAAGTACCATCTTACTACAGCGACTATCTTAGATACCATTTTATTACAGCTACTACCTTAGATACCATCTTACTACAGCTACTACCAAAGATAACATCTTACTACAGCTACTACCAAAGATAACATCTTACTACAGCTACTATCATAGATACCATCTTACTACAGCTATTACCTTAGATACCATCTTAATACAGCTACTACCTTAGATACCATCTTACTGCTGTAACTGTAGTAAGATGGTACTTGAAGTATTAGCTGAAGTAAAATTGCATCTAAGATAGTACTTGTAGTTAGGCGGTATCTAAGGTAGTAGCTGTAATAAGTTTGTCTCTGAGGAAGTAGCTGTGTATTATGGGTTTTGTAACTGTAGCTGTAGGTTAGTTAAGGTTGTACAACTCTGAGAAGTCAAAACTTTCCTGTATTAAACTTTTTTTCTTATATGTTTTTTTGGAAAAAGGAGTTAATGGCATAGTAAAAAATGCCAAAAAAAACATATGTCCGTGTGCTCGTTTTTGTGCTATGATCGGTCAAAGATACCAATTTACCACATCAAGTGATTTTAGGTGATTTTTTGGGTTTTGACCATTTGCAGAACAAATTCATACAATTTCTTCCAAGTGTGTTATCAGATATGTATAAATGTTTGTAGCTTTGTTGAAAATATTATTTTCTTTTAAATTATGGAAGTAAAATTTCTTAATCTTATTGTTTTAACTCAAAAAGCCGATTTTTGTTACCCCTACCCCCTATTTTTTAATGATAAAATACTCGTTTTTTACCATTTTTTTACAGATTAAACGCTTTTTATAAAAAGTTCTGGTATTTAACTTTTTTTAATATTTAATGAACTAAATGAAAACGTGTTTCTCTTTCTAAAACATCTACAAAAATGGGGGGTCAGTGTGCTTCTTTTTTTGTCCCATTATCATTTGTGTTATTTTTTACTTTTTTCTGGGTCAAAAATCAAAAGTGCTTCAGTCACACTAAATACGTAAAACAAATATCAATAATGTATAATTTTCCAGTTTGTTGCATATTATTTTTATCATATTGAACATCATAAAGTTGTACAGCAAAAATGAACCTGCTACAATTAAAAATGGCGACACAATGACAATTTAAGTGATCAATCTAGTGCCAAAAAAGGTGAAATTTTGACCTTTTTTAAGCACAAGAAATACACATTAATACACATTTTCAAAATGGCCGCCGAATTGGTAATTTTTTTAAATTCTTGTTAAAAAAAGTTCTACAAACAACAGGCATCTAGTTTTTTGACATATTTTTCAGATACGTGTTTGCTAATAAACTTGATCATAAGTTGTCAAATATTACAAAAACCCATTACACCAGATCAAAACGAGACTTGAACGTGATTGAAACCTCAGAAGAGTACATCCTTAATATACAGCTAAAGTCTGTATTTTAGCGAGATACATGAATTCGCGAATCGTTGTCACGTCGCTAAATTAATTCCATTACGAATTTTTTAAATGATATTTATCCTTACATGTATTTCCTATTTTGCTGTTGTTGGTTGTTTTTTTTATCATACTTTCACATTATGTAATGATTATAACCTTACCGTTAGACATTTGTTTTCAGAAACATGAAAGAAAACGTTAATAAAGGAAGGGAATCCCTACAGATGGTTTTACAACAGAAATCTGGGAAGACTGATTTCACCTTGGATACAGCCATCCAAGAAAATAGACTTTTCATTGTGGATTACGACATTCTAGACGGGATGAAGGATGAATTTGGAGTAAATAGTCTCCTCGAAATAATTATATACGTTTTCACCTAATGTCTTAATAAATCAGATTATATTTTATTATTCGAAAATTAACATTGAAAAAACTTATTTTTTTCTTGTAGTGCAAAATAAAATACATAAAATAAGATAGATATGTATTCTCAATATAAAATATAGTAATACAGGATTAATGACAATGTAATGCTTGACTGTTTTATTTTCATTCAGATATGTTCTCCAATTGCATTGCTCCTGGTGGATGCTAAAAACGAATTAATGCCCATCGCTATACAGTTGTACCAAACAGGAGAAAATAACCCGGTAAGTTTTCCCAAGAAATCTAAATGGATCATTGACTTTGCTTATAGCAATAATGTATATCATTACTTAGGTGAGCCAACGCTCGAAACGCTTTACAATACCTACAATAAGTAAAACCATATCGTTAAGTATGATGTCAATATTCAGTGTAAACTTATCTACAATCCATCAAAATAGCACAACAGTTACGATATATTTAAACATAAAATATTGATTGACAGAAAACTGTTATGCAAACATTTAATGAGCTTCTGGACATACTATCACAACCTTCATAAACATAAGACAATACTACGTATATACAAGTTAATACTAACGACATAAACATGAATCAGCACATACATTTATTTCAAAATCGACGTTGTTACAAAAATATTTTTTTCTGATTTATGTGATCACTCTGCAATATTTTAGATTTTTCTGCCCGAAGATCCAAGCTGGTTGATGGCAAAACTGTGGTTTAATCATGCAGACAGTTCCTACCAGGAATCGTTCTCTCACCTTGGTAAGCAATATACATAGACAGGTTGATTATATCGATGGCATTTACAATGTTTTGACAATATCGTATAAAAACAGTTCAAGTTATTTGTTTTAATTTGCATTCGATAAATTAAAGTCACTGTGTTAAATGTATATAACGTGATCGGTATATATATATGACTTTCTATTTATCAAAATTACATTTTGCAGGTGTCACCCATCTACTGATGGAGAGTGTTGATGTAGTGACACATCGGAACTTAACAACGACACATCCTGTCTACGAAATCTTGGCTCCGCATTTTCTTTATCTTCTGGCTATTAACACGTAAATGAATACTTTTACGTAAAAGCATTCTAAAACCAGTATTCCGTCTTTTCGTATTGCAGAGTTATCTGCTCTTGTGAACGGGTTTTGATTGCTACGTCATTAGTTTGTGTGAGAAAATTACGTCGTTTCCTCAAAAAAATATGACGTTACTCTCACAAACAAATGACGAAACAATCAATAACTGCTCACAAGAGCAGATAACTCAGCAATACGAAAGGACGGAATATTTCACAAAGCAATTTGTAATAAACGAATCGCATATTAAATTTTGACACCAAACATTTGGCCTACATTTAATCAGAATTGGGAAGTCAGTAGTTTGTCTATGATAAAACTGCAGGGGATAACAATACAAATGATTTAAAGCTGTCAACTTGATAATCTGTTCAGCATTGGCGAAGTGATATTGTGCACAACTGGGATGGTGTGATATTGGCTAAAGTTTTCGTTTAGAAAAGTTGTTTACAGGATTATTTAGTAACATTGTTGACATGATTGTTTTAGTATAATGTGCAAGTTATTTTTTTTAGTAATATTATGAATATAACTATGTTATATTGTGAACAGTTCATCAATTGTGTTCTGCTTTGATTGTGTTATAGTGTGGACAGTTATTATTAAATAATACTGTGTATACCTTTGATTTACTAATACAGCGTTTAAATACTTTGCGTTAATTTCCTGAAAAGGTGTTTTTGAAAATATACACGGTGACAGATACGTTCAGTCTAATAGGCATTATTATGTCAATAGTGACCAGCACGCATGGTTGCAATTTAAATTTCCAAGATATGTTAGGCATTGTATATAGTGACAGAAAACTACACGATTTGTACTATAAATATTTCAAATTATTGCGTTTGTTATATAGAACATTTTTATTCCAAATTGTTTAATTGTAAAAGGAATTTCATTCTTAGGTTGGCAAGAAATCAGCTGATCAATGAACATGGAATCGTTGACAAGACTATGTCGATCGGCAGAGAAGGAATGTTCGAGATCATCCGAAGACAGTAAAATCGTTTACCATCGTTTAACAATATATATCAGATAGTATTTATTCTGTAAATGAGCAGAAATTATCAAATAAATATTTATGAACGTTTCACTAAAATCTTACATTCAAATTGAAATAATCACCAGTTTTGATGATATTAAACTATTTATATATTCTTTTTATCAAGTATTCGAGGGAAACCCCACGAGAAAAAACCTTTATTTATATAATTCCTTTTACATCAGATTGGTGAAATGGAGGATGGATGAAGATGGAACATTGCCAGAGGATCTTGAGAAAAGAGGGGTATGGATATATATATATCATTTCACGTGCTTCAAACACAATATTGATTTAATGTACTTGGGCTATTTACCGAGTATCTAACCTTTCCACAAATAGTGAACATTATTTTATTCCTTGATGAATACGTTGATGAACTCATCTGTGCACAAGTAACAAAATGATAGCAGTCGTTCTTTGAGTTTATTTATTAACAAGAAATTAATCGAGCTAATTCATTTAGTGGGCCCGCATTTTTTCATACCAAGAAAATCAAATTTGCTTTATGCTTTATTTCACACCAACGGTTTTGGAAGCCTTATAATGAACAACATTTTTTTAAAAAGCTGCAAGAAGGTAAGCAAAATCTATGTTTGAACAACAACAAAAACTGCAGTTTTTGGTGTTGATTTTCAATCATAAATTTCAAAAAAATAAACGCATGCAAAATCACGTTGTAAAAAAAGGCATTGTCTTTAAACATTTTATATGTGACAACTAGTTATTAAATGTACAGGAAAATCATACAAAAAAAACGAAATTGAAGTAAGAATGTTTAAAGTCAAAGTCATAGTTTCACTTTTCCCTCTCAAAAATCAAGTATCTAATTACTTCCTTGAAATGTATTATACCTAATCGTAACCCCTGTAATTATAATTTAGAAATAGCATATAGTTAAGCAGTAATCTATTCAAGGGGAATAAATAGAACAAAAAACATATAGCTTACAAAATGTATGAAAGTCAAATACTTTATTCGAATAGTTATGTGATTGCTGAAATATGTAAACAATGCGGTCAATTTCCATGACATAGGCGAAGATTACAAACCATGTTAGCTTAAACATCCAATAATTTGAACTTTGCTCATGGTCCGTTGAGTTGGACTAATGCTTAATGATGAGCTAAACGGTTTTATAAAAAAAGATACGTGTACATCGCTTTTCCCTTGATTTGGGTTATGCTGACATGTGCGTGTGTTTTAGGTGGTAGGGGGTGGTATTCTCCCTGGCTACTATTACCGCGATGGGTTATGCTGACATGTGCGTGTGTTTTAGGTGGTAGGGGAGGGTATTCTCCCTGGCTACTATTACCGCGATGGGTTATGCTGACATGTGCGTATGTTTTAGGTGGTAGGGGAGGGTATTCTCCCTGACTATTATTACCGCGATGGGTTATGCTGATATGTGCGTGTGTTTTAGGTGGTAGGGGATGGTATTCTCCCTGGATACTATTACCGCGATGACGCACTTCTCGTCTATGAGGCTATACGGAAATATGTCCATACATATATCCACGTTTATTATGATGGTAAGTACAAAACTTAATTATATAATTTCAAAAACGTCGGACATATCATTTCAGGATTAATGTCAATTACTTATAGTATAAAATGTATGTTTCGCGCTGATGACCTTTTGAGTATGCAATTAAACTATATGAGTGTTCCTCGTTATTTACGAATTCAAATAATCAAACGATCATTTTTTTACGCATTGAGGTAAAAATGTGTTTCCTAAAAAAAAAAATGGATGTTTAATGTGTCGATGTCTTCAAAATTGACACCATTTTACTTTAAAACCTTCTTCCTCGGTCCCTAACTATCGCGTGTTTTATAAAATGTTCATAGTCATGAAATATGTTTTATTGGTATTTCATGTCTAGTTGTATTATCAGAAAATGTCATGATTAGGACATATTAATTTTCTATTTATTTTGTGGGTACATTTTTTCGCGAAATATTCTTAACGCAAAAACCATGAAAATGAGATCTACGCGAAAATTACAATTACAGAGATTAAGCTGTCATCATGTTTAAGGCACTTTAGTCTGCAAATAATTATTTGTTAACACTAAGCAAATGCATTTTATCTTTGATGGAGCGATATCAGACAAATGGCTTTAAATTTGACCATTATCTAATAATTTAGAAACACCAGAATCTGATAATGTTATTCATGCATGTATTGTATGTAAGTTACAAACTTGTCTTCAGTAGACTAGGTATTCACTTATACAAGATAGTTAACGTTTCGTTATGTGAATCGCTTTTGGAAAGAATGTTGCATGTCACAGATAAATAATATTCGTTTTTGATATACAATTTCTATCCATTACATGTAGATGACGGTAATAATGGCAAACTCCAAGTAAGTAATGATGCACAAATACAAGCCTGGGTAGCGGCACTGATTGCCAAAAGAGAACTTGTCGGCGGTGGCTGTGAAATCCAGGTAAGTTTTTCATCATAGCCCGATAAAAGGCATTTGCTTTCTTTGATTCTATGTATTATTTAATTTTTAAAATTATAAATAAAAAACATTTCGAATGACTCATTTGTTTAAGTTAGATATATGTATGAAATATGCATTCTTAAGATGCACTAACAATTTAATTCTTGCAGGGCATTCCATTAGATGAGAATGGTTCGACTATATCTACCTGTGATCAACTGGTAAAAATACTGACCAGCATCATATACATGTGCAGTGTGAGTCACGCCGTCACCAATTCCCACAGTACGAACAGTACGGCTTCCAGCCAGCCTACCCCGTGGGCATGAGAGGGACACCACCTCAAGTTACGGTACGACTTAATATCCATATAGAGATTCAATTTATCACCTCAAAATTTTCGCCACAAATACATTTTACCATTTTCTAACAAAAGAGAATTTAACATAGTAATGGCTGCTGTTCAATCCTATTCGTGTACCCGCCATCTGATCTTCCCCCAGTGTTGGATGCTCCAATGCACATTTACTTAACGGTCATGCATACTATTCTCTATTCAATTTTCTAATAGTATTACCAACACAGATACATAAATGTATTTCACAGCTGCAATAGGAACCGACTTTTTTTTACTTTAACAACAAATCACGATACAATGTATACCAAAGTATTACGTTTATATAGAATATGGAATAGAATTCTGAAGCATGTGTTTTGATTTTTAAACATATTATCTTTATTTTAAACAAAGAACATCGAGCTAACTGGGACAGCCATCATCAAAGCGATTCCGCCCAAAGTCACTTGCCTGTTGGAAATGGTCGTAATGAAGTTTCTGAGCACACAGAACACCCGCCGCTTGGGAAATTTCACGAGAGATAGTATACCGTTTAATGCAGACGACGCGGTGAAGCAGTGAGTATTTGTTTTTATACGCCCACATTTTAGTTTCCGCAAAATAACTTGGCATGAATATACATTATACGAAGAGTGAGGCTAAGTTCGAACTTGAGCTAAATTCGCTCATAACGAATTAGCATACTGTGCTCTGATTGGTCATTCTTAGAATTTAATTGTACATTATACAAAGTCTGGAGCTAAGTTCTAAGTTGAGCAGATTACTATACAATAGAAATATCTTTGGTTTTAATGGTGCAAGAAGAATCGATTATTGGCAAAAAGGGGCATTTCTTGGTTTGAAATATGTACAAGCGACAATTGCAACGCTGTTTTTAAAAGGCCATACTATGAAATATATTATTTATTCAGAGTAAGTTAGTCAAGAACGAAATGTTTTCTCCCCCTTCACCACATTCCAGGAATAGTTCTCAACTTAATGCAGAACAAATGTTGTTTCTTCACAGTTCATTCCCATATTTTAGCATAATGCAACAGATGAATTTTAAGTATGTCAGATTAATTTGGAACGGGCGAATATTATCCTGCCCTGTGGTTCTCTTGTTAAAATGTGTTGACAGTTGATATGTATTCTAGTCAGCATAATATAAAACGTGCAGTATTGACCACGTGATAACGAACTTTCCAGACTAAGACAGCCTGCTGAAACTCGTCTATCCTAACTTCGAAATACAAGGGTCTCGTTCTATCCTCTACCTTCTCAGCTGGAATATGTCATGCCAAAACCGATTAGTCATTCAATTGGTTCGAGACATGAAAAATCGACAGGTTGCTAGACTGACTCCTGTCTGCTGAAGATAACAAATGAGTTACTCCCAAATCAAAGTTAGTTCATGTACCGTTATGCTGCTAGGCGATTTGTTTTGTCGTGTATCAAATATATCACAGTTATGCAAGATGTAACAGTTTTCAGACTACTCAACCCGTGTAATTCGCAAGGGACCACTTACAGAACCTTCAATCGCGACATATTACCGGGATGTAAAGAATAGATGAAGAGAGGGAAAATAACTACATTAACTTTCGTTTTTGAACTATCTTAACGTCACTGAAGTGATTTTCGTAAATACATTTACGATTTGACGATTACCAATATTGATAAAACGGTTCTTCTTTTTCGATAGATAACATCTGCCTGAAAAACATTGTTTTATAATATGAATATCTCAAGTTTTTAAGAAAATCATTTCAATATTTTTTCATTTAGGTTTAGGGAAGATTTACGAACAGCTGCTGAAACAATTGAGGAAAGAAATATAACAAGAAAATACCCTTACCAGTGGGCAAGCCCCGACAACATTCCGAATTCTATCAGCATCTAGCTTCAACATCACCCCAAATTTCCTGGGCACCTACCACGACTACTGAAGACGCTTTGTCGTGACTAACAGAAGTTTGTGTTGACAAATATAAAAGATATTAAATATAAATGAACTGTCATGATATAACATAAATTTTGTAATTTTCAGTAATATAACGAGAATAAAGCAGAGAGAATATAGTGAACATCATTGTTTATTATATTATTGTCTCGTCGACACGCTATGTGTTGATTACTCTGTTAATATTCATGTAAAACGTCCAAGTTCTCCTGTCGAGTTGTTCGAGGAAATCACAAACAATTCTATCTCAGACTACTGCCAAGTGTGAACGACTTCTCCAAAACTAATGAATGAGGTTTGGATGATATTGTTAGTATTGTTTATCAACAGAAAACAGATATATTCGTTGTGTACTCGCCAAAATGCGAATCCACCAAAAAATTAATTGACGGTATGGTTTTTTTTATATTATTAGTTTGGTGTATGTAGTATAACATGACATAGGCTTGTATGAAAATATTTTTACTTTAAAGACAAAAAGCAGAATTTGTGCAAAAACGAAACAAGTGACAAGTCATAAACTCCCTAAATGACATCAATGTAAAATTACAGTTAATGTTTGTTTTTCGAATATTGAGTGCTGTGTATTTCGAAAACTGTCTACAATTTGATATTATAAATAGCAATACACATACATTCAGTTGTATTTTATACCAGTAAACAACCGAAATATTCTGATTAAATGAAAACACCTAATGAGGAAAAAGTCTAAACTGATAGACCCAGTTCGTTCAGACAATACCCAGGGGGAAATACTGGAATTTGAGTGCAGTGGGGCATTTCCAGCAATTTTGGTCGATATCAAAATTAAGAGGGGCGAGTCTATGTACAATTAAAAGACAATTGAAGAATAGAAGGGTTAATTTCAATTTTGAGGGGTCAATGGCCCATGGCCCCCTCCAGGATTATTCCTGAATACCTATATAAACACATATTTAAAAGACATGCGTGTGTTATCTCTAGTCTTAATTGTCGACAAAATGACCTGGATAGCGAAAGAAAAATTCTAAATCTGCAAAAAACTTTCATTTGATGAGAAAACAAATCCTTGTCTGATTACCCTTGTCAGCAGCGCTTAATTAATTTCTTAGGGGTTGGGCTCATACGCGGCTTATATACAATAATTCTGACAATTTTAAGACCGGCTGTTTTTGGAAGACAGTGAGCCACACGAGGGTTCTCTAGAAACCATTCTATTTTCGGAATATATAGTAGATGGAACACGAACAGGTTGGGTTGGGTTGGGGCAATGAAAATGTACCAGGCACACATTATTCAATATTTTATCGTACCAGTTTTATTTATTTATACGGAATTAATACTGTTAGATTTGTTAAGCATATTTAGGTCGTGAGCGGAAATATGATTCCCACCTGGAGTCTCAAAATGGATATGACAGTAAGGCATCCAAAGCTTACTCCTAAAACCAGCCCATCTTTTCGAATATAGCTTATTATCAAGATTTTGTAATGTACAACGTATTTAAGATATGATATGCAGGTCAGGTTGGTAAGTAATGTTATGGTATTTTTGAAAGAACCATGTGTGATCAACTGACTGCCTTTTTTATTAATGTTTTTCATCCTTTGCTTGCAGCCTTCCGACCAGGATTTGGGTGTCAATCCACCCTGTTGCGACTTGTTGAGGATTGGCGTAGAGCCCTGGACAACCATGAGTATGTCGCTGCCATACTGATGGACCTGTCCAAGGCTTTTGACTGTCTTCCTCTTAACTTGTTGGTCGGGAAGCTGGAGGCCTATGGCCTGAGCAAAGCCTCAGTTAACCTGGTGTCCAGCTTCCTGAGCAGCAGGGAGCAGCAGGTAAAAATTGGCTCCAAATGCGGTGACTGGCTGGAAGTGCTGAAGGGGTACCACAGGGTTCTATTTTAGGACCCTTGCTTTTTAAAGTATTTGTAAATGATATGTTTTTATATGCGACATCCTGTAAATTATATAATTATGCAGACGACAACACTGTCAGCGAATCAAATAAAGACCCAGATGCTTTAAAACATAATATTGAAAATGACTGTCAAAATTTAATAGACGTGTTTAAATTAAACCAGATGAAAGCAGACCCTGATAAATTTCAGGCCATTTGTATAGGAAAACGTTCGGTAGATGCTATACCGTCTTTTAGTATTGGCGAAATATATATTGTTCCTGACAGTGTTGTCAAACTTTTAGGTGTGAACTTTAATTCATTTTTAAACTTTGAAGCTCATATCATTGAAATTTGTAGGGAAGCCTCAAGGCAATTGTCCATTTTAAAGCGAATTGGGAGTTTTTTAACCAAACAAGGTAGACTTGTAATTTATAATTCATTTATTGTTTCAAATTTTAACAACTGTCCTTTATTTAGTCTGGCACTCTTGTTCCATGAAGAGTGTCAGAAAGTTAGAAAAGATACAAGAAAGAGCTTTAAGGTTTATACATAATGATCACAACTCATCCTTCAGACACTTATTCAGTATCACCAACAGCGACAGGCTTCATGTAAGGCGTCTGACGGAAATGGGCTGTGAGGTTTTTAAAATTATAAACAAAATTTCTCCTGAATATATTCATAATCTTGTAAATATTAAGATGTATAATTATGACTTCAGGAAAGAAAATACTGCAAGTGCCCAGGGTCAACACTGTGAAGCATAGACATAAATCGTTTGCTTTTGAGGCCGCCCGGGTTTGGAACAGTCTCCCAAATGACTTCAGAAAAGTTGAAAACTTCAAAGAATTCAGGAGGCTGGTCCATTCCTGGGATGGCCCCATCTGCCTTTGCATTATCTGCAAAGAGTGATACTTCATACTGTGCCCTGGTTACCTCTGCCATCTGACATTTTGGATTGTGTGATACTTTTATTGTCTTATCTCATTTCTTATATGTTTTAAATCTGTTCTATAATTTTGCTGCATCTTATTTGTATTTTAATTCCATATATTCTAAAAAGATTTTTTTTACAAAACTTGATAAATTTTGTTAATTGATTTCGGTATCATTTTTTATTCACACTATAATAGTGTATATTCTGAAAACATCATAAATCAAGCAACGTTACAAATGTTACGATTGTACATTTAAAACAAACCATTGCTCTGGAGAGCTGTGTAACAGCGAAATGCCCTGAGAATCGGTCTTCTTGTGATACTTAAATATGTTAATTGCATTTTGGGATATAGGACACAGAACTATACTGATGTTTTTTTTTAATTTTGAATGGAAATATCTCCAATTTGTTTTTTTGAAATATATGTTTTGATTTGATAATTTTATAACCTCAAGTATTTTAAATCTGTGTATTTTAAAAAGATTAATTAAGTTATAAGCCTCTAGTTATGCACTTCTAATAGTATTATTAGCTTTTGATGATGTGACTTTATTTGATTATGTTGTAAGAGATAATTTGGAGTTGACATTTATTAACTTCTATCTTCTGTCTTTTTCATATACCATATACGTATGTTATTCTTTCGAGAAGTGGCCATGGTGTAATGATGGCTATTTCAAATTGTATTTTCTTTCTGCCTCAGCTTCAACATCAATCATACAACAGGTTTAATAAAATACATAATAAAACAAAAGTCTGTGAAAATAAATCTGTTTTCATTTCATTTAGGAGATATCAGAGATTTACAGGGGTGGTAATATTTTATTAAGATTGAAAATATAGTAAACAGGTTTTTATATTTGGGTGTAGTTTATCCACCTTTATAAGACATTGATCAATTAAATGGGTTTTCATATTTGGGTGTAGTTTATCAACTTTTATTAGGCATTGACAAATTTTGTTGGACAATCTACTTATCAAAAATGGAAAATTATAAGTCAAAACTAAATTTTAACTAACCGACAGAATATATTTGCAATCTATTTGATCATTTGCTGTCACCTGAGTTGTGTCATCGGAGCCTACATATTTAAAAACTTGTGAACAATAAATATAGCTCATGAACTGCCGAACAAAATTTAGTTCATATTCACATCACAGTATGGTAATATCGGATTCTACACTTGTATATATTTTGTTGGGTCATCGGTCAAGGTTAGGTTTCTAGGGTCAAAGTCACACCACTTTTGAAATAAAAATATCATGTACTTGACATCTCACGAACCTCTATACAAATTAACTTTATAGTTATACTATAGTATGGAAACATTGAGTGCTATACCTGATAAGATGTTGGTGGTTATCTGTCAAGGTTAAAGGTCTAAGGTCACGGACAAAGTGGGATATATATATATATATATATATGCGAGCCTCAGCCAAGTTTGCTTCATTTAACACTTTTTGATACGTGAAGCAATCAAAAGAATAGACCAAACAGGCTTACTGAATGTATTTAAAATTAAAGTTAATAACAAATTTTGTTTAATTGCAGAAACAAAACTATCTGAGTCTGCACGCACTAAATTCTTGTGAACTTCCTTATACAAGTCAGAATATAAACAATCTCTAAACGTAACGAAAATTGAGGTACGGCGTTTGCAAAATATACAAACCCAAATACATGTGCAGAAGGTTCTTGTGTCACCTTCACTGCAGAACAATTGTAGCTACACAAACGATTACTTTTCTTCGGCTAATGCCATTCATTCGACTTAAATCTTTTGGTTCGTATTCTTTTTCCTAATCTTCATAATTCATTATTGTGGTTTTCATCTAACTATTAAATACACATTGTAGAACTTGACAAATGATACAAAAATGATTTGTTTATCAAGTTATTCTATTCCACTGGAAAAATGCTCCGATATATGTAATAGCAGAATAATTGTAATAACAACAAAACAAATGAATTATTTCATTTCATTTATTTGAATGAAATATGTGATGCACTCCATCTACATTTGATCACGCCTTACAGACAATATCCACGTATTTCTCTGGCTTTGCATTATGCCATGGCTTTCATACATCACTTCGACCATAATTCAACCAGAACCTCCATATATCATCCCTAGATCAAGTTCCCAGTCCCCCTCCTATTTCAACCTGAAGGAGAGTAAAGACTGAAGAAGGATGTATGGGGAACGTCAACATTCATACACACTTAGACACACTTAAATAAAACAGGATGCCACAGTAGGCTCTCTTACTTCTTACTGACATCTAATTATCATGGTTGTAACAGAAACAATTTAAAAATTTGAATGAATTGATGATAATAATGAAATTACATGTGAGAAATTGTCCTTTGCTGAATGACAATTTTATCATAAAATGCACATTTAAGATAATGTAATAGGTGTACTGTCTAATCGGGTGAAGGGGATTTTTTTTTTGACAAAATGTACAAGATTGGGACTTTTTCTCAATCTAATGAATCGCAGACACTAATTAATAAACCATGAATCTGTATTAAATCAATTCCATTAAACAACAAACACAGTCAAAGAGTTACAAGCCATGCTTGAATGCACGCCATTGAATAACAGTGATCAGGAAAATGTAGTGTTTATGAAACACAATAGTTCAATTCAAAATTGAAATCCCTGAATTATTTTATACGATTCATCAGAGACGGATCATGGACGTAAACCAAAACAGCCACAGCTAAAGAGGACGAGGAGCCAAGCTTTGTAGCTAAAATGTACAATATCAGGGGTAAAACGGTCTGCTGCCAGCAGGTATTTACAACTATACAAAATAAATATCAATTTACATTAGTTACAGGAATAAAATAAGCTACTATTGTTTTGATATAAAAATTCAGAAGAATCCAAATTTAAAACGTTTAAAGATTAAAGATCAAGTATTCTTTAAGAATGTACACACTATAAATAGCATAGACACTGGGCAGAAAGCCACATTTCATAAATAAGTTTGAATATTACATATGTTCTCACTATGTACATCCGATCAACCGTACAAACATTTATAGTAACATACTGTACACAAAGCGAACTTGTTACATTGACTCATAAAAAAATCATTTCTTGGAATTTTTCTCCAGAATCTACATCAATGCTGCAAAGTTTTTAAGAAAAAACAGCAGTAGAAATGTCTTTTTTTTAAGTTATAAGTTTCAGTTAAAATTATGCATAGCCCACCAATTATTTCGACTATTACTTGAAAAACAGCAAATTTTCTGTCACACAAACATTAGTCATTATACAGTGATGTACTGTATAATGACTAATGTTTGTGTGACAGAAAATTTACATAACCATAAAATACCAAACAAACCTTTAGTTGGAAAGGACAACATTGATTATTCTTTTTTAACACTAATTTTGATACTTATATGTTGCTATGGTTGATAATAGTTCAACAATGACTCCGAACAAGTCCTAGAAAAGGTGTAGAGAATTTTTCTTTTCATTAAATTTAGCACTATCACTCACACTGTATTTATCAAACTTTTAAACTCTGATCAAATGTGAACTCTTTATCCATCTGTTTCTTAATTCATAACTGGATTAGTTGTACTTGGTATATTTCTTTATTGGTCACAATTTACTAATTGTTTGACCAGTTACAATGATATAGATCAATCGAGTGCGCCATTTAAATGTATGCTACTGCATACCAGGAATATTTTGCCTAGTGAAACTTTTGCCCTTTTCCCATCAATTTAATTTTCTCCCAACGTCAATTTCGTCGTTCACATTAAATTACTATGTATATTTAGGGGATAACCTACTGCATTTTGAAATTTGCAGCAGTATAACGTGATTATAATATATACTGTCGCAAATTGAGTTTTACTGGTGACGCAGAGCAGAGCATGGTTATAATGTTGCAAATTATTTGGATTGACCAATCAAATCTCATGTTATATCTCAGATGAATTAGAATATGTTGTTTTTCTATATTCATTGTAATAATGAATTTTCCCTAGTTACAGAGGGCGGAAAAGGAGAAAATTGATCTGCAGCTAAATGTTCCTGG